ATGGATGCTATAAGAAAGGTACACTAACTATTAGAATGCTAGAATTATTTTTTTAGGATAAGCAAATTTTTTAAAACATTTGTTACTACTTTACCAGACTTGTCAATCTCTGTAGGAGGGATATCTGCCACCTCTTACTTTTGTTGTGGCACAGACTGGTAAGAGTGGCAATTTTCAACCCGTTACAAATTTTAGATGCATTGAGATAATAGTAAATTTGATGCTTTTCCATTTTGTGCATTGAGTAATTGTAAAATTGATCCTTTTCCATTTTGCTCTTTAACTATCTTTACCGCTCTTGCTGACACCCAGTTTTGTCATCCGAGGGAGTTCAACTTTTATCTCAACAGCCATGCTAGCATTCAGGTATTACTTGTGTTGTTGATTTATACATGCCAATTTTGTTTTTGCGGTAGTTTGTGCTGATTTAGGGCTTATTTGGCCTTTCAATTCTTGATATTATTTTTCTCATAAAGGGAGGCAAATATATATACTACATACTTGATTTACAAGGTAAGAATATGCAATAATATTTACCCTAATTCTACGGACTCAAACGGGTAACAAATCCCCCTAATTACACACAAAAGTCAACTTACTTCAATCGTTTACCCTCTTCTGAGCATGTATCCGTGCTCTCTTCGCTGCTAAATATGAAATCTAAGTTATGCTATAGTTTGAATTGCTATATTCTATTCGTGTAGGGAACTAACATGCCTACGCACCACTATGTCATGTATGATGAAAACAAATTCTCCCCTGATTGCTTGCAAGTGGGAACAAACAACATATGCTACAAGTAAGCATTTAATAATTTCAACTCGTCTCTCTAGCTTTTGCACTTATGCGAGGAACTTTGAAGATAACAGTTTTTTTGCCGACTTTCTAATCGTATGTCATATAATTTTTCAGTTATAAGGGAACCACCCTTATTCTTATCATAAGGCCTAATTATATCGTGATGGGGGCGGATTCTCGATTCAGCACTAACAGTGGGACCCTCTTAATATCTTCAAACATGTGTATTTTGAGCGAACATTCGGGCAATAGAGCTTTTATATGTGGGAACATATATGAAGCTAGAAGGTTAGTTGATCATGCGGGCCTGAATACATGCATAGGTAGGAAAACAACCCATAAGGGTATAATTAAAGCATGCAATCGATTCAAAAGGAGAAAATATGTATGGAAGGCTTCTCCATGCTTGCTTGCACAGGCACAAAGGCATCTATGATCAACATAGGGTGCAGGAAATTCATGTAGATAAGTGTCCGAAAACATATGGATGTTGTGAACGAATTGTCAGTCATCGTGGTGTTGCACACTTGGATTTAGGCATATATGTCATAGGAACTGGACAACGCTTTGCAATTCATCAGTTGGCTCATAGCTTATCACATGTCAAAGATAATATCTATTATCATAATTATCTCAATATGTCAGAGATAGTAGGATCGTACAATAAACCAATTGAAGAAAAGACAGCCGAAGAGAGTGTACTCGAGGTGCTTTTCATGGCATCTTTAAGAGATCCGAGTACATATCCCCATTTTGAGACCCATATGATTACTAAGGAAGGGCTAGTAAGAAGAGTCCTATGCACCTTTATTGAAGCTTGCATCAGATTTGAGCACATTGCTACACAGATGCTTGATGACAAGAACCTTGTGTTTAATCTGTGTCATAAAGCATCTGTGTAGCAATGTGCTCAAATCTGATGCAAGCTTCAGTAAAGGTGCATATGACTCTTCTTACTAGCCCTTCCTTAGTAATCATATGGGCCTTAAAAGGGGGACCTGTACTCGGATCTCTAAAAGATGCCATGAAAAGTGCCTCGAGTACACTTTCTTCGGCTGTCTTTTCTTCAACTGGTTTATTATAGGACCCTATTATCTCTGATATACTGAGATAATTATGATAATAGATATTATCTTTGTCATGCGATAAGCTACGAGCCAACTAATGAATTGCAAAGCATTGTCCAGTTCCTATGGCATATATGCCTAAATCTAAGTGTGCAACACCACGATAACTGACAATTCGTTCACAACATCCATATGTTTTCGGACACTTGTCTACATGATTTGCCTGCACCCTATAGTTGATCATAGATGCCTTTGTGCCTGTGCAAGCAAGCATGGAGAAGCCTTCCATACATATTTTCTCCTTTTGAATCGATTGCATGCTTTAATTATACCCTTATGGGTTGTTTTCCTACCTATGCATGTATTTGGGCTTGCATGATCAACTAACCTTCTAGCTTCATATATGTTCCCACATATAAAAGCTCTGTTGCCCGAATGTTCACTTTGAAGATATTAAGAGGGTCCCACTGTTAGTGCTAAATCGAGAATCCACCCCCATCATGATATAATTAGGCCTTATGATAAGAATAAGGGTGGTTCCCTTATAACTGAAAAATTATATGACATACGATTAGAAAGTCGGCAAAAAAACCGTTATCTTCAAAGTTCCTCACATAAGTGCAAAAGCTAGAGAGACGAGTTGAAATTATTAAATGCTTACTTGTAGCATATGTTGTTTGTTCCCATTTGCAAGCAATCAGGCGAGAATTTGTTTTTGTCATACATGACATGGTGGTGCACAGGTATGTTAGTTCCTTACACGAACAGAAGATAGCAATTCAAACTATAGCATAACTTAGATTTCATATTTAGAGGGCACAAATACAAACTCAGAAGAGGACAAACTATTGGAGTAAGTAGACTTTTGTGTGTAATTAGGGTGATTTGTTACTCGTTTGAGTCCCTAGAATTAGAGTAAATATTATCGCATATTTTTACCTTGTAAATCAAGTATGTAGTATATATATTTGCCTCCCTTATGAGAAAAATAATATCAAGAATTGAAAGCCCTAAATCAGCACAAACTACCACAAAAACGAAATTGGCATGTATAAATCAACAACACAAATAATACCTAAATGCTAGCATGGTTGTTGAAATAAAAGTTGAACTCCCTCGTATGTTAAAATTGGGTGTCAGCAACAATGGTAAAGATAGTTAAAGAGCAAAATGGAAAAGCATCAAATTTATTATTATCTCAATGCATCTAAAATTTGTAACTGGTTGAAAATTGCCACTCTTACCAATCTGTGCCACAACAAAAGTAAGAGGTGGCAGATATCCTCTTGCAACGATTGACAAGCCTAGTAAAGTAGTAACGAATGTATTAAAAAAATTTGCTTATCCTAAAAAAATAATTCTAGCATTCTAATAGTTAGCATACCTTTCTTATAGCGTCCATTTCATGCAGCAGAACTTGACAAAATTGGTCTTCACTAACTCCGTCTCTGTCAAGCAAACATTAAAACAAATGTTAGCCAAGTGTTGTGTCATTTTGTTGACTGTTAGTTGACTTTTACGAATTTTCTCAAAAATCCTCCTAGAGTAATTTCGACGCCCTGAGTCCATTTTTGACATCCATTTAGTGAAATTCTGAAGCTTTGCACATGGTCTCACTTAACAGAAATATGAATGAAATATATGAAAAACTAACGGTAGGGGGGCAAATTGGCTAAAAAAATTAGTTTTGATTCCTTAATTTTCTAATAGAAAAGTTCAGGGAGAAACCAAAAGCTAAGTGGAAGTTCAGAAGGTAAATCGACAATTAATCAACATATCTGGTACATTAAACACTTGGAATTTTTCAATACCATATAACTAAGGAAAACAGTTCAATCACCATCTTTGGTGGACCAATTCCAATTCCAACATAAATTATAGTCAGTATTCCAACTTTCTTCCACAAACCCACATCATTCACCCCCGGACTAAAACAACACACATTAAATTTTTACCCACCGAACCGCACTGGTTTTGATCCTAGTACACACACACCCAAAAAAAAAAAAAAAAACCTGGCATAGAGTTAAACATGTTCCCGTCCCTTTGTTTTGAAGTGATTGGCCTCAACAGCTAGCTCGTTGAGTTGTTGGCAGAGTTGAGCGATTATTATCCGTCATTCAAGCCCCCCAGGAGCAAGTGAGTGAAATCGTTGTTTTCTGGTGGTTCGGGTCTAAAGATATGTTTGTTAGACGGATGATGATCAAGTAAGACAGCCTTGCCACCGTGTGAGGTTCATGTGCAAGGCTCGTTGTAGTGCAAGATGAGTGTCGTTCACTGGGATAGTGGGTTTTTTGTTTTCAAACAAAAGAAAATTGAGAACCAGAGCAAGTGACCTAATGATAAAGGCGTAGACATGGGAGGTTTCGGATTCGATGCTCTGAGCTAGTGAGTCTGCATAATTGTGACTAGTCTGCATAAATACGAATCCAAATTTCAAAAATTAAATGTCATAAGGTCAAATCTAAATATACTTTCCAAATTAACATCATTTATGGAATTGAGAAAGTGACATAAAAATACGATTTCAAATTTCAGTAATTAAATGTCTAGTGTTATAAATGGCAAAAGTTAGAGAAATAAACCTTTGCGAGAGACAGGAGGAAAGCGGATGTAATGTATCACATTGTTTATTTTCGTCATTATAACATAAAAGGATTGCTGGTAAAGAAGGGAAGGAAGGGATATTGATCTTATTGTTTTCACTTCTTTTCTTTTATGTTGCGTGTTGTGATCATGCACGAAATACTCCTTATATAGAACCATATCCGTGATGAACCAAAAAAGTGAAATAAGTGTCTTTCGAAAAACATAATACAACAACAATGCTACTATTCTTAAATTTTCCTCACTTTTCATCTTTGGCTAAAAACACGTAGGCATTCATTCCACAACTTTTACAACATCTAGATCATTTCTAGATTACTTTCTAAATTAACGTCATTTTCGGATTTACTTTCCAAATTGAGAACCTTAGAAAGATTTCATTTCTAATACATAGGGCTGCTATGGGTCATTTTCGAATTTACCCATTTATGTCCATGTCGTATTATTTACGTGTCGTGTTGTCATTGTTTCGGCCAGACAAATTAGCGAGCTTGGAATTGGGCTCCCAAGCAGCCCATGGTCTTTCTATAACTAAAAATTTGTACCAATGTATTAAACTAAAGGTCAAATTACATAACTTTTCTCAAAACAACTCACATATTCGCAGCATAACTACAAAAAGAAGAAATCTTAAAACAGATTCTTCATTCGCCTTCCAAAGCGCTACATAAATTTAACATGTAAGACAAACCTATAGGTGCATCAGAATTCCTCAAGTTCAGTGTAGAACTGTTTTTTTTTCAAGGTGAAAACACAGTATCAACGCGTTTGTTCGGCCGAATGTTTCACAAGAACATCAATTATGCGGCCTGGACATGCACACCGGACCTCGAACCTTCAAATGAATCTGCTAATCCGGCCACAAGAGGAACAATATGAGCTCTCTTTTATAGCAGTCCATGCACTAATTTCACATGCTTTCACATTCAAATCTGAATCAGCTAGCTTCAACTCTTGACTGCTCGCACATCGCCACTTCTTCCAGGGCTGTCCAGCTCCTCATCCACTTTTTCGAGTTCTCCAAGTTCAACCTTCTTCGCTGGGACTTCAGCATCCACTGCAGTGTCAGGTACCGGCTGAACCACGGGCTCCTCTGGTACACCTGAATCAATATCGGAGCTGCAAGGTATAGCCTTGGAGGGAACTGGTATCATTTCAACAAATGGGGACAGAAGAGAATCATCGTCATCAGAAGAGGTCGAATCTGCTAAAATTTCTTTTTCACTCACTGCGCGGGGATCAGCTTGAGGCTTTCTAGAACCTTTCCGTGAAAGTGCACGCTTTACCGACCTTTCAGCACTTTTGTAGAGACTCTTTGCCATGTCTTTAACATTGCCCTTTCCTGGGCTATCCGAACCACTCTCTCCAGAACTTAAAGCCCCTCCTTTTGAATTTGCCTTGCCAGAAGGAGAGCTACAAAGGCCGTCTTCCACAACAAATTTCACACCAATATTATTTTCATTAACTGCCCTTAGATTCACGCGTGGGGTTTCGAGTGGCTCTTTAAGGGTGCATGAATTATCCTCCTTGGAATTCCTATGGAACACCGAACCGATCTTATGCAGACCCCTGCGAACTGATGCCATTCGCCGTTTATCTTCAGGATTCTCGTCAGTGCTGCTGGTATCATTAACTTGGGATCCAATGCCACTACCATTAGGCTCCCCTTGAATTTGGGTATTAAGTCGTCGACCCTTTCCTTTTCTGGCCTCCCAAGTTTGTGAAACTTCATTTCCTGGGTGATGGACCCATATACCAGTCTCTTTCTTCCCATCAATATCAATCGGCTCAAAATGATCTGCTACCTTAGGAGATTTCCCCGGCGATATAGATGAGAAGGAACCTTTATTACCAGTGTCACAGGCAAAGGAATTTCTTCGTTCTTCCACATCTGGCTTTTCCTGAACATCTGGACAGTCATCTGACTCATCTCCCTTTGTATGAAAGCGGTTCAAGTCAAGCCCCTGAAGATTTTTCTGTTCCTGAAAAAATCTTATCACTCAGATGTCGTAGAGAATTGAGAATTCTAATTTGTTTCAATTATGAAAATAGACAGAGACAGAGGGAAAACAGAAACTAAAACAATTAGATGATTCATTGAGATTCTCAAATTGTGAAGATACTTTTTCGAAGGAGCGGAGCGCCATGCACACTTGAGCATCCTGTGGAAGCATTGCATTCTAATTTATGCAGCAACTAGAACGATCGATCTCTTGACTTTGATTTCCTAATGGACATTATCAATAGAACTAGTTGAGAAGAAAGAAAAAGTTACCTTCCCATTTTCGTCAAGTATGGTTACTGCAAGATGCAGCCTCCCAGCCTTCTGAAGAGGCAACCACATGTCATGCCTCCCGCCATTCCTAAGATTGCCAATGTTAATGGAACAGTCTCTGGATATAGAAGAAGTGTCAGTTAATCGTACAGATACAACAGCACCTACAGGATAATTTAATAGAAAATCAAAGCACAAGAAGGTAAATGGCTTCCAAACTCATTTAATTTGTGATTGTGATCATTTAATCTCTATGTCGGTAATCCTTAAATCTAATAGTTACTATAGCAATATTATTTGCAAATATTTGAAGACTTAGGCATGCTACGGAACATAATATATTAAGGAAGTTCAGAAACAAACCCAAGGGTGTCATCAACAAATATGTCCTTGTCCTGAACTTCTATAGCTAGCACATTTGGTGAATCCCAGGTGATAATGGGGATCTTAAATTCCTCGTGCCATTTTGGAGTCAGCGTTTTCTTTTGTATCTTAGTTTTGAATTGGTAAACACCCAAATGACCCTTCACATAAGGGTCAGCGAATCCTGAAAATAAAGATCTGTATCAAATACAAAAAAGAAACATCTTTCTTGTGTTAGTTAAAAAACCTTCTTGTACTGGAAAACAAATAACTAACCATTTAGATCGGAGGCTTTCATGTCAGATGCTTCAATAACTTCTACTCTCACATAAGCAACAGGATCCTTCTCATCCACAGAGAACCAGCTTTCTGTCATTCACATGAACACAGTAATTGAAACATTTTAGAAAGTGCATGAGTGAGAGGAACTAATATCACAAGGGGACTGAATGCATGTGAATCTAGCAATAAATGCCTCCACACCACATGAAATTTGATTAACATAAGTTTTATACTTCCCAAAGGAAGATCCTGTTAATCGTGTGAAATACTAAAGATACATTATGCGGCCCTTACCCTGTTCCGGTGAAGTAAATTTCTCCATGTCAACGACCAGCATATTAGGCTGCAAAAAGATATAGATAATAGATTAATAACATTTCCAGATCATCTTGCTGACTATGAGGTGTAATATCCAACAGTCCCATCATTTGTCATTCGAACAAGCTTATTTTTTTGTCTACTAGATCACGTGGAATTTAATCAACTTGATATACTATTTGAAAGGAATGAAACATGTACGGAAGGAGAGAACTATCGCGAATAGTTTTCTGAAATCTGAAATTTGCAACAGATACAAATGGAAATCTAGGCCAGTGGGTTTTCGGCCTAATGAAAAAGGACTCCATTGTAACGTGCAAGGAGGTGTCTAGACTCTGAACTGATGTCTTTGCATTCAAGACAACCATTGGATGGCCAAGAATTATATATGGAGTGTCAAAATCCAAATAGTTTACCTGAACAAGTGTCTGCTCGAAGGCAACAGAGAGAAGCTTATCCTGGGAAACGGAATCAACAAAGGAGAGAGTCAGAGATCGGTAAACACAAAGACAGAGTGAGTGACCGATGAAAGGGGAGACTTAAGAATATATCTGCATAAAATATGATAAAAGCTTACCAGCCAGCCATCAATCCCAGGGAGTTCCGTAACATCAAGCCCATGAGTGAAAATAGGCTTGACAGTCATTTGAAAATATGGAGGCTCAACGAAGCATAACCGCACACGGCCTAGGAAAGGCCACTTGCAAAGGAACCTCACCCCAATCAGGACCTACAAAAGAAAAAGAAATTCACAGCTTTGTCACATGCCATTTCCCCTTAAAAAAAAAAGGTTTTTCAGTATGCCACCAAAGGGCAGAGGCCAATCCTCTTAACCATTCTTAGTTAACGACACTAACCAAACCAACTCAATAAGGTAACATGGATCATCTAACATAAGTCATAAGCTTTTTTAGCCTGAGATAATCCATTAGACCTAAAACTCAAATGTTAGTTCTAAAAAGAAGAAAAACAAATAAGGCATACATGTCAGAATTGAAACACAAAAAACGCTAAAAAGAAACATTCCCATCACATCAGTGTTTAAATGCAGAGATTATACATAAAGTGGTACAAATCAGAACTAATAAGTTGCAAAGATCAATCGCAAAGTTAATTCTCATGGAGGCACCACATGAAACAATACTGCATAGGCTTCTATGTCTATCTTGTTTAACATACTATCTACATCCTGAATTACAAGCTTCCTTAACTTTAAACCGATTTAAGATCCATCCTGATTCCTGAATTACAAGTTAGGCAAACCCATACCTTCCCTTCAACATGCATGCCTGTAATATGCAACTTTGCCCAGATTCCAAAACCTAGTCTTTTCCTCAGTTTCACAGCTAGAATTCCAAGCATATCATCAGCTGTCAGAAAATTCATCCCCAACTCCAGAACCTGCATTATTACAATGTATTACTTCGTGTTGGCTGAATTCTAGAACGAAAGCCAAGAAGAGCACATGAAAATACTGGTCCAACATGCGGGAGAATGCTAACTCTTACCAAGTGGTCATCATCAGTAGATTGGCGAAGAACTCTCATCTCTGTGAACATAGGTGGGTTTCTTCCCAAGTAAAGATGCTGTACTATAGCTTTACCCTGCATATGTATAACCATATAGATTTTTAGAACTAGTTTACCGTACATACAAACAGCTGAAGTGATCACAATACACTATGGGGCAATCAAAATACCATAAAAAAATCCGAGTCCTCAAAAGAGAGAGCACTTTAGACTAAAGTGACCAACCCAAACTAATAGGAGCAATCAAAACTAGAGTATTGAACATGAATAAATCAGAAGATAAAGTCATACAACAGTCCACGGTTTGTACTTCTCCAAAAACCAAGGTATGATAGGGAGGAGAACTTTCTGTGAAGCAATCTGTTCCATACATATTGGCCATATCTTTTCAACTGCATGGTTCAACCACCGCACGGTCTCGGAATCAGAAAGTACCTGAAGTATCGGACAAGGCAAGGAAAAAATGACATGAGATATTGCACTGCGAAACTAATTCAACCATAATTCGAAAACCCAAATTCAATTTTTGAATAACTAAGATAATTTCCCAACAAAAGTGCAAAGCATAGATATTCAAAAGAGTTCAGTTTGACTTTATATACAAGAACCTTTCTTATGGCGGGTCGTCTTTCTTTTAATTGCTTCTCACTTGAACAATAATAAAGATCAACAAAGACTCTTTTACTCAATGTACTAATCACTGATAAAGTAATCAACCATACAAAAGGGAAAACTAAAAATTACCCTTCTCTGATTAGCCTGTTTTCTTTCCTCAAATTGTAATTTCTTCCGCAATCTCATAACATACCGCTCATGAACCTGTCGAAAACAGAAGCAAAAGTGCTTATTAAGTATTGAAATTGCACATCCAAATCAATACCATTTATCAAATCACATTACATATAATTGACAGGAAGAACCAATGAAAAAGGCCAACTTTGTGCTTGATTCTAATCCCTTGCATAAAGAGAAAGAGCCATAATTTACTTTTCTTGCTTTAATTAGTTTCCTAAAACAAATTTAACCCCTTTAACAAAAAAAGATTAATGAATTCAAGAGAAAAAAAGCAGTAATAAGGAAGAGCAGTGATTCCATACCAGGTAGAGATAAATGAGAGAGATGAAGTAAGCAACTGGGTGGCAGCAATCGAAGTGAGAGAGAAACCAGATCACCATTAACACAATCCCCACATGGTGTATCAGTGTAACTTCTGTTACATCCATCTCTTCTTCTTCTTCTTGTTCAAACCCAAAAGCCAAAAGCAACTTTCCTCTCTCTTCTTTTTGCAAAATTCAAACTTTACTCTCTCTCACCCCAACTAAACCCCTCCCAATAAAACCTTTAAAAAGAATCACCAATTTAGAGTCAACATATCAAAGGACAAATCCAACACTAAAACTAAAAGCTCAAGAAATAGTCTTAAAAGCATTAAAAAGGAACAAAAACCCAGAACGGCAAACTCAAAACCAACAACAAACCATGTAAGTTATTGAAATCTGAGAGCTACCCACTAAAACATTAAGAACCCCAGATTCTTATCAAAACAGAAATTAAAGTAAAAACAACTGATGAAATCAGAAGCTTCACTTCAAAATACCCAAATGAAAAAGTTAAAGCAAAGAGGAATGTTTTTGGTGGCCACAGAAGATGAAACGGAACCTTAGAGCTGAAGTTACCGGCGGGAAGGTAGAGAGAGAAGCAATACGAATTACGACAAAGTGCGGAGGGTGGAGGGTTATATTTGAGGAAGGTTGCTATTGACTGGCTGGCAGTTGGTCGCCACGTCTACGTAACACGTCACCTACGCGTGTCGATAAATCGCTTTTAACTGGATGGATGAGTATTCTTTCTAGATTCTTTTCTTATAGTTTTAGTTAAGTACTATTTTTGTCTAATTTTAAATAAATAAATTTAAAATAATTTCTGATTATACGATGTACGATAAACGGTTAGAATGTGAGAATCTTCACAACTTAGATCTGGATGAGATTCAAATACTAACTAGATAGACGCAAACTGCGCCATATTTTGAAAATGAATCCTGATCCTTGTCGAATCCTCTTTGTGAGGATTCAGGGATGTATGAATGATGTTCGTTCATCATACATTGTGTGATTAAAAAATATTTTAAATTTTTTTTATTTAAATTTAAACGTAAACAATATTTAACAAAAACTGACTGCATAATATACGATGAACATATATGATTTACGAATCCAGAGTATCTAGCAAGGAGGATCCTGTTGGTTGGAAAACGACAAAGAGGGTGTTTTCCCCTGTCTCACGGCACATTTTATAGCCAATTTTTTTGGTCAAATTCGGCCCTCGTGCTTGGAGTATCATCGTCACATCACATGCAAATAGTTGGTTTGATCGTATGGCAGAGATAACAATTGTTCGATGGAACTACCTGCAAATTCTTTTTTATTTTTTAAACTTTTTTTTTTTTGAAATCCTGGTTATCAGGTTAAATCAATTGTAAAAGATTAATGATAAAAAATTAATAAAAATGTGCATAAGGTAAAGATGAATTTCGCATGATTTCCAGGAGCTTTTGCAATCATGTGCGTATATTGTAAAATTAAAAAATTGGCAATGTCTCTTGTTTGAGAATAATTTACATGAAATAGATTCACTCCGTCGTGTCATTTCAGTTCAATAATGCATTATGAGTAATGTTAGGTAAACTAATTTTTTAAATCAAATTTGTAAATCATATAATGTGCAATAATAAATAAGTACGCTAATCGACACTTAAGATAATCCAATCAACAATCATGTTATATAATTTACAAAATTTGATAGTATGGAATTGTGTTTACTGGCTTTAAATTGAGTATTCATTTCTCTCATTTTCCTGTTGGGATTGAAAATCTTGTATTTTACATATTCATACGATTGATTCGTTAAGTTTCCGAAATAATAATTGATAGATGTTTTACCAAGCTGTGTTGAATGTTCACATTCTAACAATTTGTAATTGTTATACGAAATAAGACATTCTCCCCTATTACTCTCCCTCTCCTCCCTTCTCTTTCTCATTAACAGTAATGATTAAGCTCTATTAACATTTTGTATTAACTGCTTTATATACAGAGAGACAAAAAAAAAAAAAAAAAGTGTAAGACAAATGAAGGAAAGGAGGAAAGCCTAGGAGATTAAGAGTGGAGAGAATTATAATCCTTGTTTCACTAAGTCAAACACTACACGTGATTGGATCAATTCACTCACTCCTTGTTTTACTAAGGTAAACATTACATGTGATTCTATCAAGTTGTGGTGGACCGAGGTCCAGATTTGTCGGCAGATGGATATGGGAGAGTGGATTTGGTGGAGTGGGACACCTCCAACGTAAAAGTTTGTCACCTTTCATGTTATATTACCATTGAAAAAATCAAGGGATTTGGATCCTCTCTCAAGCCTAAGAAGAAGATCAGTCTGATCAAGAAGTGTGGATCGTTAGATTTTCATCCAACAACTATAATTAATATAACTTTAAAGGAACTTCCCGTTTGTAGCCGTTCGATAAAAATCTAACGGCTCACACTTTTATCCAACGGTCCACACTACTTGGTTAGGGGGATCCTCTCCTTGGGCTCAGGAGGGGATCCAAATCCAAAATAAAGTATGTAGGGCCAATCATGTCTCAACACGTGGCGAATATGTGTGATATGTTTCCACAAGCATTAGGTTTTCTAATTAGGAACTTTAACAAAAAGTTTTCGGTACTATTTATTTTAATAAAAAATTACATTTTTTTCTCTAAGAGCATCTCCAAAGGAGATGTCAAATTGTCCAAATCAACAATAACAATAACAAAAGACAGCATTAATGTTTTCCAACCGAGAAGGCAAATCTGATGTAGCATGACATGGATTGACATCTCCCCCCTTACTGCCAAATTTGACAGCACCTTCAGATTTTTTAAATTAATTATTAAATACTTTTTATTAATTTTTTATTGGTTTAAAACATTATTCTTTTGTTTCTTTTCATTCCCAATGCAAAAAAAATACATATAAATTATTATTTTATATTTAAAATTTGGCATATCGGTTGGAAAGTAAAAATTTAAAAGATGTCAAAGTGCCACGTAAGCCTTCAAATTTAAATTTTATGTTTAAAATTTGAGTCAATCTTGGTACTATTTACTTATAACATCTTTTTGTCATTTTTGTTAAAACTCAAAATTTTCAATTTTTTTCCCATAGTTTTCATTTTCTAATTTTTGTTTCTCTCTCTAAATCAAATTAATGCCTACATTGAATATATAATAATTGTATGTTGTACTGAATATTTTATAATTTTTATATACCTTTTAGTTACTCCATGCGCATTTCTAATTGTTTGTTAATTCCTTTCGCAGTCAACTCAACCCATTTATATACAGAGCTTGGTCAAAACGGATTTTTCCACAGCTTCATAATGTATGATTAGCTGCCAAACTTTTTATGTTGACAGATGTCTAAAAACTGCGCAATAAAGTGAAATTTAATAATATCTTTTCCGTCCTTTATTGTCAACTTTGACTTGGCAAAGGCCGGTCCTCTTAGTCACGTATGCAATGTCCTAGACAAACAAGTTTTAATTTTGATTGGTATCTCAGTTAAGTCATGTAAAGCTTCTCCTATTATTCTGGTTCTTTGGCATGGAAAGAGATCTGCTCTAGATTTTTTTCATCAAATTCTACATATCAAGTGATCCGGATTCTTGAAATTTGATCTAACGGGTAAAATTATTATAATTTTTAAAAAGAATCTCTGTTTTTAGCCGTTTAATCAACTTTCAGAAATCCGGATCACTTAATCTGTGAACTTTGGTGGAAGATTTCAGGAGAGGATCTGTCCTCTCCTTTCCCTTTGGTATCCTCTCCTTGTAGTTAATTTAGCTCGAAAGAGTTGAACCGCTGAAAGTGGTTTACAAAATAGTATTCCATATTTCGTTAAAAGTTTGCGCATGAGCCGACTAAGCTCATCACATCCGCTCGTTTTTAAGCTATAAAATGGAAGGCTGGGATTTAATTGTGTTTGGAGGCATGCGCGTCCCATGCGTGCACCAGAGAAACCTCTTCAACCTGCTCCTCGATCTACAAATTTTTAGTTTCTTTTTGTTTTGGATATTTTGGATATTTTGGCTGCCCAAGCCCATTGAAACTCCAGCCAAAGGGCCCACAGTAGGATAAGGCATAACAAGTAACATTCAAGCCTCCTCATAATTAAGTTTATTTCCTATAAAAAAAAGAAAAAGAAAAAAAAAAGGTTGCTGACATTACAAAAATTAATTGTCTACTCTAAGTTTTTTAGTTTTAAAAAGAAAAGTACTCATATGACGAGTGTACAATTGGATTTTTCGAGTACCAATAGCAGTTTGTTATTAGTAATAATTTTTAATTTATTGGCCAGTGAATTCACTTAATTTATTCCTCTTTTTGTCCTTTTTTTGTTGAGAAATTTTAGAAATTTGATTTTCACACCCTTTTTTTATTTTTTTACTATAAGACTAAATAAAATCTAACAAAAACAAAACATAATATTACACATAAGTGTAGAGAAAGAAAAAAAAACGGTGTGTTTATCACTTCCTAATTTTAGTCTCTTTTCAAGTACAAGAACAAGCAAACGCCAACAAATGGGACTCACTATTAGGTTATCAACTTGGGAGACAAAAATAGATAGATAAGTTTAGACCTTAAAAAGTTTATACCCATTATTTGGTGGTAAATGCCTCAACTTAGTCGAAGAAGGTCTTAAGTTTAAGTTACATTGTTCAACTCTAATAAAATATTAATAGCGACTAGTTCATTATGGAGACGTAACTCTATTGTTGAGTATTCGATTAAAAAAACAGTTATTCTAATTGCATTTAAATTTAAATTTGACTACAAAACTTAACTATAAAACGCATGTACTTAATACAATCACTTATTCACAATCAGATATAATCACCGATCACATGCCCAAATTTACATTTTCACCCTTTTCTTAGCATTCACACAACATGAAAACGAAAGAAAATTATTAACTTGTCGACTTGCTCCGACAGCTCCCACCCACCTCGCAAGTTCGAACCACCAACGACCAAAACTCCGAACTCCAAATCAAAATCACACAAACAGAAAGCTCGAAAACCAATAATTGTAACTTGAAAATATGGGCGAAGACGAAAAGGAGAGAGGAGCATCAAGTGATCATCATCATCACCATCCCCCTCCGCCACCCGAGTACGGAACTTTCCAAGGAGTAGCCAACTACCCACCACCGCCTCCGCCGACGGGATTCCCTCAGCCGGCGCCGCCGCCGGGAGCCGCTAACCCTTCAGCTTCTCATCCTGAAAGCTACCCTTATGGATATCAAACCGTTCCTGGTATGCTTTAGAGCCTCTATCTCTTGTTCTGTTCTTCATTTGATTGATGATACTTTGTTTTCTCGATTGGTAAAAACGAGAGTTTAAAAATGATATGTTTGTGAATTCAATTTGTTTTTCTGGTTGGAATTATTTGACTTATTTAGTCACTGCAACAACCCTTTTGATTTTTATGAACAGAACAACTATGGGTTTAAGTTTTAAACAATCTCAGTTACGCTGCTAGTGATTAGATCAGTTTTGTAATGATGTCATTAGGGTTTTTTTTTTATTTTATTTTATTTTTTAGTGGGAATTTTGTCGTTGAATGACTTGATATGTATTTTTGTTGCTTATTCCATTTTGTGCTTTGTGTTTTATCTGGATCTTCATTTTCTGTTGTCATAGATGTCGGTTTCTTAGCCGTGTAATTGGATTGCTCTGTTTATTGTTCTAGGTTATGCGGTTGCTGAAGGGCGACCTGTAAGAGAGCGTCGCCTTCGTTGCTGTGGTTGTGGACTTGGCTGGTGCTTGTAAGTTTGCTTCTTTAAAATTTAAATGGCTTTGTGGAAGTTGATTGATATGAGGGTTATGACAATGTTCTGTAGTTATAAGAAAATGAAGGTTTCAATCCTGATGTATAGGTTAAGGGCTTAATATTATTGACCCTTAACTGATAATTTCAACTAGTCTAGCATGGTAGGATTTATATCGTGGTAAGTAGGACTGGCCACAACTGAAGATAAGATGAGAGAAATTGGTTAAGGTGGTTTGGACACGCGAATCAAAGACCTACAGATGCTCTGGTTAGAAGATGTGACAATGAGACGGAGGATCATATCAAAAGGGATAAAGGAAGACCTAGGAAGACTTTGAAAGAGATGGAGTACTTGGAGCCAACGGAAGACTTTGAAAGAGACTTTAAGAAAATACATGGAGTACTTGGAGCTAACAGAAGATTTGGCGCAAAACCGAACGCAATGGTGTTCTAGGATTCACATAGCTGATTCCACTTAGTAAGATAAGGCTTGGTTGTTGCTGTTTGTTGTAGTCTAGCATGGTAGGATGATATTTAAGTATTGGATCTTTAATCAAGAAGTTGCAATCGCTGATCGAGCTTCGTAGTGTTCTAATAGTTTTAGAAACATGAAAACGGACAAGAAATCTACATCATCAACAGAAAAACTCTTGATTTTATTGTGCAGAGTTGTTTTCCATTGTGGAAAATTGTCAAAAATAGAATAGGTTCAATTTGAAGGAAAGATTTGAGATTTGTAGAAATTCAATAAGCACGAGAAATGGCATTTGCGGCATGAATTGAAAAAAGATAGTGTTTCAATAGGGACTCTGCCCTCATTTTGATATCATTGACTATGATCGTGTTTTCTGTTCACTGCTTAGAAAGAAACTGAAACTAGCTCCCAGGCTTCCTTATAAGCAAAATAATAGGATACGTACATTGTATTTTCGGTTGTCTTGCAACTATCAAGCTATCTATAACATCAGTAAAGACTTGTTAACTTCCTGCTCTTTCTTTTGCAGGTTTATCATCGGTTTCTTCCTTGGTACCATCCCTTGGTATGTTGGTGCAATTATCCTAATTTGTGCTAGGAATAGGATGGACCCCCGAGAGAAACCAGGATATATCGCTTGCGCAGTTGGTGTGAGTAACTCTTATTTCCTTTCATTTGGATTTTTGGAACAACGTACTCCACTTTTTATGTTTTATCTACCTCCAAATTTCTTTTGTTTGTCAAATACTTACCTCGTTGCCAGTCTAGTCGTCTTATTTTTATCCTCTATTCCTTTTTTCTAATACCACTTTATCTGCAGGCTATTGTTGCAACAATTGCTATTGTACTTGGTGCAACAAAGGGAGGTCATGGCTGGTAATCTCATAGGGAGGAGTTATATAGCTTTGTATGATCGATACATCCACGGGTCCGGATTCTCGGAAGACTATGCATGGATGTCAATCTTCTTATAAGTTATCATGTACTGTTTGAACTTGTGTTAGCCACAATGATATCTGGACTGTTAATATCTGATGATGCTAACTATTTGTTTTGCTCCAATCAAAATGTTAAAGTATGCGTATGTCAATGGGTTGATTCCGGTTCTCGAATGTTTATAACTACGCGAGATTTCCAGTCCTTGTGCAAACATGAGATTTTAGTGAGAGCACTCTAAAAATTATTATTTGTGGGAAATTTACAGGTGTTGTTGCTGGCTTAACATATGAGCGATCTGAAAGCTTATCGTCTCATCGGAGCAAATAGCTTGAAAAAAAAAAGAGGGTAAAGTACAAAAAACTACCTCAACTATTGCGGTCATGACAGTTTCATACCTCATCTTTTAAAATTGACAATGTCATACCGCATCTTTCGAATTTGTGACAATGTCATACCTCCGTCAATTTTTCTGTTAGTTTTTCTGTTAAATGCTGACGTGGCAATAGACGGGGACCACTTTCTATTAAAAAATTAATAAAATATTATTAAAAACTAAAAAAGATATTTAATATTTTTTAAATATTAAAATAATAAATAAAAGTAAAATTAAAAAAAAAAGGGTAAAGTACAAAAAACTACCTCAACTATTGGGGTCATGACAGTTTCATACCTCATCTTTTAAAATTGACAATGTCATACCGCATCTTACAAATTTGTGACAATGTCATACCTTCGTCAATTTTTCTGTTAAGTTCTGACGTGGCTTGATTCGGGACATACTTTCTATTAAAAACTAAAAAATAATTATTTAATATTTTTTAATATTAAAATAATAATAAAAGTAGAGAAAAAAAAAACCATCAGTTTGTCCCTTCCCTCCCCCTCCCCCTCCCCCTTCCTCTCTCTTCTCCCCATCTTCATTTTCTTCCCCTCACCTGCAAACCCAAAAAAATAACAAATATAAAAAAATTTTGAAAACCGAACAACCCCCTGCAGAAGAACAAGAAGGGGAAGGAGGAGGAGGAGGAGGAGGAGGAAGAAGAAGAAGAAGAAGAAGAAGAAGAAGAGGACAAAAAATGAGGAAGGAAAAAAAAAAAAAAATTCCCCCCTATCAACGCTGAAGAAGAAGAAGAAGGGAGAAGGAGGAGGAGGAAGAAGAAGAAGAGGAAGAAAAGGAGGAGGAAGAAGAAGAAGAGGAAGAAAAAATAAAAAAACAAATTTGAAAACCCATCAAAACCCCCCCACCCCCCGCCCCGGCCCCCCCCCGCGCGCGTGCGCGCGGGGGGAAGAAGAAGAAGGAGAAGGAGAAGGAGGAAGAAGAAGTAGAAGAAGAGGAAAAAAAAGAGGAAGGAAATTTTTTTTTTTTTTTTTTTTTAAAACCATCAACTCCCCTGCGGAAGAAGAAGGAAGAAAAAGAAGAAGGAAAAAAAAAATTATTTTTTTGAAAACCCATCAAACCCCAAATCCAACATTTTCATCCATTCTCCACATCCTCTCCCGCACCCATCCTCCACCTTCTTTGTGCACCTATCTTCCCACAGACGAGATTTGGGTTTTTTTATTTATTTTTATTTATTTATTTATTTATTTTTATGGGTTGCAGGAGGGAGAAGAGTGTGGGTGTGGGTGTGGGGAAATTAAGTGCGAGTGTGGGGGGAAGACAAATTGGATTGTTTTTTTTTTTTTTTTTTGGCCTTTTATTATTATTTTAATATTTAAAAAATATTAAATAATTATTTTTTAGTTTTTAATACTTTTTTAATAGAAAGTAGATCATGAATCAAGCCACGTCAGTACTTAACAGAAAAATTAACAGAAAAATTGACAGAGGTATGACATTGTCACAAATTCATAAGATGCGGTACGACATTGTCAATTTTAAAAGATGAGGTATGAAACTGTCGTGACTCCAATAGTTGAGGTAGTTTTTTGTACTTTACCCTTTTTTTTTTTAAATTTTACTCTTATTTATTATTTTAATATTTAAAAAATATTAAATATTTTTTTTAGTTTTTAATAATATTTTATTAATTTTTTAATAGAAAGTGGTCCCCGTCTATTGCCACGTCAGCATTTAACAGAAAAACTAACAGAAAAATTGACGGAGGTATGACATTGTCACAAATTCGTAAGATGCGGTATGACATTGTCAATTTTAAAAGATGAGGTATGAAACTGGCATGACCGCAATAGTTAAGGTAGTTTTTTGTACTTTACTAAAAAAAAAAATCTATTTGTTTGCTCCAATATTTCAATCTTTTAACCATATCATCGCATTCCCCATTTCCGTTGATGAAAAAAAAAAGGTTTAAGCCATTAGCGTTTGGCCAATTGGTGGTGAAGAATGACTAAATTGTTCACCCATTTGTCGACTCAGGAAGTCGGGGGTGGAGGAAACATTAGCCGAGGGACACATGCCCTCTTCCAAATCTCTTTTGTTTTTGTTTTTTTGTTTTTCATTAAGGAAGGAGATGGACTTAACCTCACAATGAGCTAACAATAATTCAAATTTGCCTTTAACGAGAATTGAACATAACATCTATCACTTATCGATGAACAAAACTATCATTAAACCGTAGTACTAAGTTGCTCCAAATTTCTTAAACTCTTTCAAATAACTAACGTTTTAAAATTGGGCAATTATGTTTACCAAAAAATGTTGGACATTTATTAGGTGGGTAGTATAAGGTGACGGACGTGGGCTAATATTTAAGTGAGTTTTAACCCTAGACTCTACTCGTACTTGAGCCCAATAATTTTAGCTAAAATTTAGCTATAAAATAAAGAGCATCATTAGAGATGATCTAATCCTAGTAAACCCGAGTTGCGAAAGGAAAATAATTGAACAATTTGAAAGTATTTTTCTTTATTCAATATCTTGGTCCGAATTCAAAACGAGATGACGAATGAGCAATGAGGATTCCCAGCACGAGAAAAAAAAAGACAGCCTATTAACTATGTTTCTTTTCATAATCGCATGTATATACATATTAACTTTTGGAGTGTGGGAAGCTTCTCTCTCAATAAATTGTTGATTATTATGAATTTTGATTCCAAACTCCAGGAGTCGCAGCCTTTACTGATTTTTCTCAGGAATCAATCGGAGCTTTTACTATTTCAGAAGCCCTTGTCAGGTACTCTTCTACTTTAATCTGCTTGCTTCCTTAGACAAACTTTTCTTGAGAAAATAAAATTCTGTGCCTATCTGTGCACGCGAGCGTACATGTGAGTATTTTGGTATATATTTGTCAGGTCTAAATATTTCATCTCTTTTTATTTACTTATGTTTGTATGAAATTTTACATTGAAAAAGTTGCTAAGTTATCAAAAGTGCAACGGAACAGTGATCTTAATAATGTTTTTGATTAGCCATCGGGATACATACCATTCTGTCAAGACAATGGGAGAACTTAATTATTGACTTCTCTTCCCAAAGTGGAATTCCATGATGACGTTCATTGATCGTTTACTCTCCTCCCTTCATGACTCAACAGACATAAAATATATATAGTCTTTGACTTTTTCGGCATGGGGACATCTATGGATCAGTAACTGTGGAGGACCTCTCGTATTCGTGATTGGATTTGCACTACTGTTGGGTAGAATGGTGTTGAACTTGATCTTGATCTTTGGGATTACAGTGTCATGAGTTTTGAATTGCCTCAAAGCCTCTCCTTGTCCAGAACACTGGAGGTTTTGAGGGTGGCGTCAAGTTTACAACCTATGCTTTCTTGAGTCTCAAGGTCTTACAGTGTCAAGGTACAATTTTTTGATGATTCAGTAGCAAAGCTTTTTTCTCGTTTTCCATAAGGTAATATTTCATTTCAGCATAAACTTTTGTTTGATCAATCATCTTTCTTGCAGGCTTTGTATCTGCCTACTTTTCAAAATCTGATCCAATTGGAGCTTGTTCTTAGTGCTCGCAGTTATTGGGAGTTTCTGACAGGGTTCTTCGTGCTCGCAGTTATTTTGTTTGATCAATGATGATCATTCTAGTCAGAATAAAACGAAGACTGAACAAAATTTCACTCATTAACTCACAAACTAACATGCTGTCAACCAAGAAACAAAAATCTTTCGGCTCACTTCAGTACAAATCCTCCCTTTTCCCGTTAACGAAAAAAATAAAAAAGTAAAATTTGAGCCATTGATGGTGATGAAGAGTGGCTATATGTTATTCCTTCACTCACTCTCAGATCTAAAACCTTGTTGATTTGTATATATTTTGTTTGTATGAAAGTATCAGATTATTAATACAACAAGTAAAGAATAAAAAATTAAAGAAGATTATGATAAAATTGGGGAATTTGTAACTTGTAAAAATTTAACCTTAATTAGTCAAATTTTTTTTCTTTATTAAATTTATTGAGTGTATTTGAAGTTCAGGACTATTCAAAACAAGGTGATGAATGAGAATTGCTATCCACACATGCCGTTTTAATTTATGTCTTTTGATCTTCTTCAACTCTTTCAATTCAACGGTCGAAAATTAAGAAGAGTTTGTGGAAAGTAAAAAGGAGTATATGGACACCACCATTCCCAAAAAGAGAATTCAAAACGAGGCAACATATGAAGTGTCATGGTTCAAGGAACCACCGGACATCATCATGGACATTTTACTAGAAGATATTTCTAGTTAATGTGGCTGGTTTTATAATTCTATTTCCTTGAGGATAGGTTCCCTTATGTTGTTTGTACGGGATGCTCTTTTCTCTTGAACCGGGTTGAAATTTCCAACAAGGTTTTTATCGAGGCCCATTATGCAAACTATCCTCAAGTTTTGTACGTTTTTCCTTTATCAATAAATATCGTACTGTTTCAAAAAAAAACGAGGCAACATATTTACTGCTCTTTGTGGTAATTAATCATATACGATCTATCAAGTTATTAACTTTTCGACTCTGTAATTCTCAATGAGTGTGCGGAAAGTTTCTCTCTCTATAAAATCTGACTATCCGAGTCCAGAGACTCCAGACTCCTGATTTTCTCTGCAATCAATTAAAAAATGTTTTGTTTGCTCAGTCATCTGAGAAGCTCTTATCAGGTACTACTCTTCTTAACCTGTTTGCTTCTTTAATCTGTTCGCTTCCTTGGAAAACCTTTAATGTATCATGAACTTACATATATATAGGTCTAAATTTTTTGCATGTATTTTTCGTTGCTTAAGTTTGTCTTGACAAGCTTTTATGTTATCAAGGGTACAACAGAACAGTGATCTCATTAATGTTTTTTATTAGCCATCAGGGTACATACCAATGGGTTCGACATCGAAGTGTCAAGAGGGAGTTGATAGGATCAGTGAATTGCCAAATTCACTTCTTTGCCAACTACTTTCATTCCTTCCGATATTAGATGCTGTGCAGACTACAATTCTGTCAAGACGATGGGAGAACTTTTGGACTTCTCTTCCCAAACTTGAATTTGATGATGATTGTTTTCCTTATTCATGGACTGAATCCAATCGTTTTTTGACGTTTGTTGATCGTGTACTTTTCCTTCATGACTCAACAGACATTCAAAAATTCAGCATTGAACTTTATAGGCGTTGGAAACGCTCCAGTGAACCAACACCGGATCATTTATCTCTTATTTATAATTGGATCTGCACTGCTATTAGGCACAATGTTGTTTATCTTGATCTTTATCTTGGTCTTTGGGATTGCAGTGAAATGAGTATTGAGTTCACTCAAGGCCCCTTCTTGTGCAAAACACTAGGAGAAGTTTTGAAGGTTGTCATCAAATTTTATTACCTGTTCTCCTCCTACGTCAGGCTGTTTCCCGAGTCTCAACGTCCTAATTGTCTAGGTAGAGGATCTTGATGATTCAGTGGCAAAGCTATTTTCTCATTGCCCTGTACTTGAAGATTTGAATATAGATGTAATTCCAAATGTTTATGCTTCAAATGTCAACATATCTGCACCTAGCTCGAAGACCTTAACAAAATCGTTGAACACTGACTAATGAAAAGGACAGTGATTTTGTCCCTTTTTATATTGATGCTCTAAACCTGGAAAAGTTATCCATTGCGGCTGCCAATTTTCTCTCTTATTTTCGCTTGGGGAGTGAAAAATCTCCAGTCCAAGTAACAGTTTATTTCAGGAGTATAGTTGAATATTCTTCCGCCATTGATGACTGTGTAACTGAGTTTCTAGCAGGAATTTCTAATGTTAGAATCTCTCTCTTACGGTTTCAATTTTTGAGGTAACTATGCCCTAGGTTTCTTTCCCCTGTTTACCATCTTTCTTTTTCTTAAACTTTGTTCCTCTTATTGTTCTTTCATTTTTACCAAACTTAATTGTGGTAGTGACTGGAAGCTTTTCTGTTTAATTTTGGAATGTTGCGAGTTCAAATACTTTCTTATGTATTTATTATTGCATCAACTTTTGATTAATCAATGTTCTTTCTTGCAGGCTTTGTGTTTGACTACTTTTGAAAATCTGATTCAACTCGAGCTGAATTTTATTGGTCGGAATTTTTGGGCGTTTCTAACAGGATTTCTGAAGAATTCACCTGTCTTGAAACATTTTGAGTTTCATAATTTACTTTCTCTTATGCAGCATGATTTCTTTTATGTGGCTCTGAACAATTCTTAATTTAACTGTTCTTTTAAATAAATTGGCAGGACAACGAATGGTATGAGGAACATGAGCATAAATGGAATGTGAGCAATAATCCACCAGACATCGTGCCTCTTAATTTGTTTGTTGTCACATCTCCAGACCATCTCCATAAGGTGTTTCAAGGGTCAGCGAGATGAGATGGAAGTTGCTAAATATTTTTTGAAGAATGGCAAAGTTTTAAATAAGATGACTATTCATACACTTACTTCTCCTAGAACACGTAAATTTTTGTGTTCGGAAGATGAGATGTATAGGAAAATTTCAACATTTGAATGGGGTTCAAAGACTTGTCAAGTTGAATTTATAAAGATGGGTGATCTTAGAGGGGGTCCAAGGACGTGTTATTGCTACTAAACAATTTTCTCTGTTGATTGAAGATGCTCTTTATTTAGTTTTGTGTGGATTTCTTTTTTACTTTGATTTTACTTCTTTAACATTCTAGCATATGTAGTGTATTCATCAGTTAGGAGATAAATTATTGATACTATTGAGCATCGTAGTTTTTCGATTGTTGAACTCCAACCTTCCTCGACGAATAATATCATCTGTTCATTGTATTTTCTTCTGTATTATTTATCGTCATTGGTTCGACACAGGAAGTTATGACTGGTAATCTCACAGGGAGGAATGCTGCTGAATAATTCATGAACTTGTAAGTTCGGAACAATAATCTTTGTATTCGGAATAAGAATCACAAACTCTTCAGTTTGTTTACTCAGTCAACAACTCTTACCCAATGGAACTTTGTGTTCAGGTTATATGAATTTTGAATGTTTGTTGTAATCAGAATTAGTTACGCCGTTTGAATTTTGAATTGTAAACTTGTGAATAGGTTTTTGAAACCCTAATGTAATCTGAAAATCATTATAAATAGATTGCATCCTACGGAGTTGAGGGCAAGTAATTACAGTGAAAAACCTTAGTTCTTCTTTAAACTTTCCTGCTAGCAATAGTTGTATAGAGAGTAAACTGTCAATTTTCCTCTTGAACTTTCAACTAATAGTTTTACAGACTACAGATCTCCCCCTTGAACCTTCATTTAACTTTCGATTTACCCCCTACTTTTAAATTGGAAAGTCAAGGACTTAAACTAAATTTGTTGGCCAATTTCCCCATGCCGTTAGTTTTTCATTTATTCCATCCAAATTTATGTTAAATGAAAGTATGTGCACAATATGCGAGGGTAGTTCGGCCGCTTCGTTCTTTAAAATAATTAAAAACCGTAGATTTATAAAATGTTGATATATGCAAATCTGTATGATTATATAATTTTTGTGTCTAAAGGTCTAGCAAAGTAACTTTTTTTTTTCCTCAAAAGAGAGTCACGTGGTGTGCACATGATAAAAGTTAACTTTAATTTGGATAAAATATATAGAAAACTAACGGTAGGAGCATCGGCCAAGAAAATTAGTTTAAGTCCTTGATTTTCCAATTTAAAAGTTTAGGGAGTAAATCAAAAGTTAGGTGAAAATTCAGTGGAAAAATCAACAGTTTACTCTTTTATAGATTAGTGTGAAATATTATTTACAATAATAAAATAAAAGTTAGCAGCTGGAAGGGGTCTAGGTGGTGATTTTACACAAGGCATATTTGTCGACTTGCCTCCTGAAATTGTATGGAGCTGCCAATTTCTCATCTGAACTTTAATTTTAGCCGATTACCCCGTGAGCTTTTCTAATTAGCCGATTTCTCTTTTGGACTCTAATTTTAGTCGATTATCCTCTTAAACTTTTATAAATAACCAATTTCCTCATAGCGTTAGATTTAAAGAAGTTTCATCTAATTTTTCATTCATCTTGATCATAGAAACAACATGACAATTGCATGAGGGCAAAAAAGATAAAAAAAATTGGAAGGATGAAAAATTGAAAGAAAGTTTTTAAAATTGACTATTTATAAAGGTTTGGGAAATAATCAGCTAAAATTAAAGTTTAAAGAAAAAATTGACTACTTAAAAAAAGTCCAAAAGGTAATAGATCAAAATTAAAGATCAAAGAGAAATTGCAGCGGCAATAAAGTTCAGGCAAATCAACAAATACCTCGTTACACAACGCTGAAGGGAGTGCTTCTCCTCCTCCTCCTCCCGCGGCTCTCACTTTCTTAGATTTTCCCGTCAGTTCTCAGCTGCCGATAAGAATTTTACTGTTCACCCAGAAACTCACATCAGGTACTTCACTTCACTCCTTAACTTTCTCACTTCCTTACCGTTGATCTGTCTGGTTACCGAGAAAACTGAGAAAAATATAGAGGGAATAGAAAATCTAAAGTCTTACCCTTTAGTTTTGATTCGCTGATATTTTCCTCTTTAGATTAAATGAAAGAAAAATAAAGGGCGGAGATAAAGTTTTTCTTTTTCATATTTAATTGAAATTCAAAGTCTTTGAATTTGCAATGTAATAAAAAATTTTAGGGTTCAAATGGCTTTGAAAAGTAAGAGCCGATACGGTGCTAAAGATAGGATCAGTGAATTACCTGTCGAAGTTCTTCGTCACATACTTTCTTTCCTTCCAACGAAATATGCTGTCAGGACCAGCTGTTTGTCTACCAAGTGGAAGAATATATGGGCTTCTGTCCCCATCCTTAACTTCCACCATGAATATTTTTCTGGAGATGCTGGATTTTCGATGTTTGTTGAACGTGTACTTTTCATGCGTGATTCATCAGACATTCAGTGGTTCAGTCTTTGTTGTCGCCAGATTCAGGACTTTTCACGTGTTGATGGTTGGATTCGGACGGCTATTAGGCATAATGTTGTTGAACTTTCCATTTCTGCCATCTTTGATCATCTCAGGATTTATGAGTTGCCTAAAAGCCTTTGCATGTGCAACAGTCTGACGTTTTTGGAGCTACTGTTAAACTTTACTACCAAAGTTCCTACATCAGGGTGTTTTCCAAGTCTGAAGTACCTCTGTGTTATGTTATTTGGCATGGCTGATAAGGACTCGATGAATAGGCTTTTTTCTCAATGCCCTGTACTCGAAGTTTTAACTATAAAAGCAGTTTCAGGGATACGTCATGTAGTCTTGGACATCAACATTTCAGCTCCTGAACTGAAGATGCTAAAAATTTATTTGGGCGCAGGAGCTTTGCACAATCATTTTATTAATGCCCCAAAGCTTGAAAATCTAGATCTCTGTGACAGCCGTTTGTCAAATTATATTTTTGAGAATGTAAAATCACTAATTAAAGCGGATATAGATCTCAGTGACCAATTTGGAATTTACGGTCCTGGCTATGTGAACCGTGTGACTGCACTTCTAGCCGGCATTTCCCATGTTAACTATCTGTGTCTTTCTGCTCCATCTTTTGAGGTAGCTACTCAATACTTCCGTTCTTTGTCCATTGTTTCTGATTCAGTTTTTTGGCAGCTTTGCTCCCGTGGTATTACTAAGTAACTAGATTGTTCGTATTTATTCTTACCTCTGTTGTTGATCGTATTTATCTTTTACTAAACGTAGTGTTTAGGGCAGAAGGCTCTTTTTTCCTTTGTTTATTTGTTTTTTTTGTTTTTGTTTTTTTTTACACTTGGAACTGGATCTTTATGATTGCAACATCTTCAAATCGATAAATGAGTTTCTCAAGAGATCCCTTAATCTGGAATACCTTGGTCCATATGTAAGTGTATTTACACGTGTGCTTTATCAACAGACAACTCTTAGATATTCTCATTTTATTCATACATTTAATAAATTGGCAGTTCAACGAATGTATTGAAGAACTTGGAGCATCCATGGATTCAGCCAAACCTTGTGCCTAATTGTTTGTTGTCATACCTTAAGACAGTCTCCATAAGGAAATTCGAGGGACGGCAAGCTAATATGGAAGTTGCAAAGTTTTTGTTAAAGAAAGGTAAAGTATTGAATAACATGACTATTGCGACAAGTGATCCTCAGTGTGCAAAGGAGGAGCTATACAAGGAATTTCGTATGTTTGAACGGGGATCAAAGACTTGTCAAGTTAAATTTATTTGAGATGCAACCTCAGGCTTTCCAGTGATCATACTTTTGAAGTCCAATATTTTGGTTTCCAGAAGGATTATGTTATCAGAGCTGCAAATTAAATCATGATCTGAGATGCAGTTTTAGGCTTCTAAAAGATTTTATTTAAAGTTCAGTTCGTGGTTTTGAAAGGATTTGGTTTTCAAATTTGTAAAAGCACTATATGTGTCTGTACAAGATGAATCTGTTTGCAATCGGTTGTTTTCCGTTGTAGAATTTTATTATCAACTCCGTTTACCTTCTTGAACTTTGTTTAGACTGATTTGGTTATGGTGACATGCCATGGTCAGTTAGTTCATTCTGGTTTGGTATTGTTTGGTATTGTTGTGTTTTGATAAAAAACTGCTTCTGCTGTGAAGTGAGAATAAGCTTATTTTTGCTGCGTCACGTTCTCAGTTTTTTCTTCACCCAAAACTGTGAAAATAAGTTGTTTTTAAGTGTTTACCAAACACTTTTTTGAGCTCATCTTTTTTTTATACTCACTTTTTATAAAAGCATCTCAGTACCAAACTAGTACTAACTATCTGATCAAGATTTTTGTATTTTTTTACTAAAGATCTTATGGTTAAAAAGTTCGGAGTATCTAATACTTTGTAGTGCTAAATTGGACTCGACAGCGAAAGCTGAATTATGCAATAGAAAGTAACACCAAAGAAAACCTATGGAGAGTATCCATTCATAGGTAATCACAAACTTCCAATTTCGGTATGAACTGTCATTAGATCTCGTGGAGCTGCACTCCTGATCGTAATTTACCGTGTCCCTTCGGCTCATTGCTTCAAGATAGGTTTAGACTAAAATTTATACAAAACTACTCGAACTATTAGAGGTAAGCTCAAAAAGCGCTACGTACATTTTTTTGTTTGCCGATTTACTACCAAACTCTAATTTTAACGTGGTTGGACCATCTTTGTAAGTTTAAGTTAGAAATTCCCCCATAACGCATCGCATGTTGAACAAATTAACGAAATTTTTTCCTCCATTCATATTTAAGTGTAAAACTCGTCAAATATAAAATCTTAAGTGTAAGAACTTGCAATTTATATGAGTCAAATTTATGGCCTCCCAATACTACACCTTAGTGCTATCTATTTTTATGTTTATAAGTTTATAAGACCACCTATTACCAAAGTAAAAAGGGTAAGTGCATTTACCACGTAAAGAAATAGAATTTTTTGTTAAGGTAAAGAAACGGTTTTTGGCTTGAAGCAATTGTCACTGTCTTAGGTTTTCTCGCCATTTCTCGGCTGCCAATTAGAGTTTCACCGTTCTCCAACATCTAAACAAGTACTTTTCTGGGCCATCCCAGAATCACAGAAAGCCCATATCAGGTACTTCACTTCCCATCTTTTTTAACTTCCTTACCATCTGTTTGGTTACCAAGAAAATTGAGAAAATTATATAGAACAATCACGTCTCAACCTTTAGTTTAGATCCGTATCCATCTAAATGATGATATATATATATATATATATGCATGCATTCTGTTCTGCTTTGATTTCTCTGTGAATTTAAGAAAACATAAATTTTACATTCGCATCTAATTTAGAGATTTTGATACTGATGACTCAATGTGTAAGCTTTTCTCAAACTGACCAGTACTTGAAGATTTGGCTATAGAAGGAACTCTTCGATACGGTGTATTTTTGAATCTCAACATTGATGCTTCCGAGTTGAAGAGATTAAGGATAAGTTCGGAATTTTACGACAATGAGAAAGATGGGGACAAATTTTTTATTTTTGCGAGATAAATTTTTTATTTTTACTCTTAAATTATTGTAATAATTTCAAACCATCCTCCCTCCCTTAATAATAATAAAATAAAAATTACCACTAAACTGTTGAATTGTAATCTTGTCTTGGCCCAAAGATAATTGATCCGGCCCATACACAAAGAAAGATCCATGCACATGCTAGAGAATTCTAGCAAAGTTCAAGTTGGTGGAAGAGTCTAGAAGAATGGTGAGGATTCCACCAACATACAAGATTAGTGTAGATAATTCTAGCTTAGGAAGGAATTATCTAGATATCTCTAGCATGATGTTTTCATGCTTCTCCAAGGTTCCATCCATGCCTATAAAAGGAGAAGGCATCCACACCATTTGAAACAACCAAGAGAGCAAGTAGCAAGAAGTGAGAGTGTCAAGTAAGAAGTAAGAAGAAGCAACAAAGCTTCTAAGAGTGTTTGAGTGTTTCCTTTTGAACTAAGTTTGTGAGTGAATAAAAACCTTGTGTAATACTTTGAGAATTCTTTCTTTCTCTTGCCTATCAATTCCGCTGCGTTACATTTTTCTTTGTGAGATAAACATCTCCAGAGTAGTGAAGCATTTTTAAACCCCCAACAAAGTGGTACCAGAGCTATGGCTAGCAATGCTATGGCAGCCTTCCAAGTTCCAGTGCTCGACAACAACAACTTCGATAATTGGAGTATCAAAATGAAGGCCCTTTTGGGTGCACACGATGTTTGGGAAGTCGTGGAGAAAGGCTACACTGAGCCAGAAGATGAAGCTACTCTGTCTCAACCCCAAAAGGAGAGTTTGAAAGATTCAAGAAAGAGAGACAAGAAGGCTCTCTACCTCATTTACCAAGCATTAGATGACAATGGCTTTGAGAGGGTCTCGAGTGCAACCTCTGCCAAGCAAGCATGGGAGAAGCTTCAAACCTCTTACAAAGGAGCTGAACAAGTGAAAAAGGTTCGTCTTCAAGTATTAAGAGGTGAGTTCGAATCTCTACAAATGAAAGGGTCTGAATCAATCTCTGATTATTTCTCAAGAGTCTTAGCCGTTTCCAATCAATTAAAAAGAAACGGAGAAAAGTTAGAAGATGTTAGAATTATGGAGAAGATACTACGCTCGTTGGACCCCAAGTTCGAGCACATTGTCGTGACGATTGAAGAAACTAAAAACTTGGAAGAAATTAGTATAGAGCAATTAATGGGTTCGCTACAAGCATATGAAGAGAAACATAAGAAGGGGCAAGGGAATGATGAGCAGCTCCTCAAGACACATATCCAGCCAAAGAAGAAAGAAGAAAGCTTCAACAACGAGAGAAGCCAATATGGAAGAAGTCGTGGTCGAGGTCGCGGACGTGGACATGGGCGTGGATGTGGTTGGAACTTAAACAACCATAGCAACTACGAAAGAGGAGAAAGCTCAACAAAAGGTCGCGGAAGAGGACGCTCAAACTCGAGGTATGAAAAATCTCATGTTCAATGCTATAATTGTCAAAAGTTTGGGCATTATGCTTGGGAATGTAGAGCTCCAAACAGCAGACTTGATGAGAAGGTCAATTATGTGAAAGAAGAGAAAGAAGAGAATGGTGTTGTGCTACTAGCATGCAAGAACAATGATGGAGACCAAGACTATACATGGTACCTTGACACCGGCGCTAGCAACCACATGTGCGGAAGAAGAAGCATCTTCGTAGAGCTCAATGAATCAGTGAGTGGCAACGTTTCTTTTGGAGATGAATCCAAAATACCCGTAAAAGGAAAAGGTAACATCCTTATTCCCCTGGAAAATGGGGGTCACCAATTAATTTCGAATGTCTACTACGTGCCCAATATGAAAAGCAACATTTTGAGTTTGGGTCAACTCTTAGAAAAAGGTTATGATTTTCATACGAAAAATTATATCCTTTTTCTTAGAGATGACAAAGGAAGATTAATTGCCAAGGCGAAAATGTCAAAGAATAGGATGTTTCCCATGAACATTCAAAACGATGTTGCAAAGTGTCTCAAGATATGTTACAAAGACATATCTTGGCTTTGGCATCTTCATTTTGGGCATCTTAACTTTGGGGGACTGGAGTTATTATCCAAGAAGGAGATGGTGAGAGGCTTACCGTGTATCAGCCACCCTGATCAAGTTTGCGAAGGATGTTTACTTGGGAAACAGTTCAGGAAAAGCTTTCCAAAGGAGTCGACCACAAGAGCCCAGAAGCCACTCGAGCTCATTCACACCGATGTGTGCGGTCCAATAAAACCAAGCTCTTTGGGTAAAAATAATTATTTCCTTCTCTTCATTGATGATTTTTCAAGAAAAACCTGGGTGTATTTCTTGAAGCAGAAATCAGAAGTCTTTGGAGCATTCAAGAAGTTCAAAGCCGCTGTAGAAAAGGAGAGTGGTTGCGAGATTAAAGCCATGAGATCTGATCGAGGAGGAGAATTCACTTCGAAGGAATTTCAAGAGTTTTGTGAAGCAAATGGAATTCGTCGACCTTTGACAGTTCCAAGATCCCCTCAACAAAATGGAGTGGCGGAAAGAAAAAATCGAACCATCCTCGACATGGCTCGAAGCATGCTCAAAAGCAAGAAATTGCCTAAGGAATTGTGGGCAGAAGCTGTAGCATGTGCTGTCTACCTATCCAATCGGTCTCCAACAAGGAGTGTGTGGGGAAAAACTCCGCAAGAAGCATGGAGTGGAAGAAAACCAGGTATTTCTCATCTAAGAGTTTTTGGAAGCATAGCCCATGTACACGTACCAGACGAGAGGAGAACCAAGCTCGACGACAAAAGTGAGAAGTTCATCTTCATCGGCTATGACACCAATTCAAAAGGCTATAAGCTGTATAATCCAAACAATGGGAAGACGGTGATCAGTCGAGACGTGATGTTCGATGAAGAAGGAGAATGGGATTTTGGCCCGCATGCAGGTGATCTTCACTTCTTTCCTCAATTTGAAG